CGCCGTCGATCTCCAAGATCGACAGCCCAGTCGGGCCGTGATTTGGAAGCCGTGAGGGCGTGAACTACCGGCCCTGGTTCCCTTCCCCCACCCCGTTACCCTGCCCGGCGCCTCCCTTCGCGAACGTCGACGGCAGCTCCAATGACCGCGCCAACGCCCGCCAACGTCCGCTGACGCCCGCCATCGCCCGCCGACGCCCGCCATCGCCCACCGACACCTGCCATCGCGCGTCACCCCCCAGCGCCAAGGTAAATGGGTTAGTTCCAGACACAGAGAGAGAGAGAGAGAGAGAGATCTTCTTCTTCTTCTTCTTCTTCTTCGTCGTCGCTTCTTCTTCGTCGTCGTCGTCGTCGCTTCTTCTTCTTCTTCTTCGCTTCTTCTTCTTCTTCTTCTTCTTCTTCTTCTTCTTCTTCTTCTTCTTCGTCGTCGTCGTCGTCGTCGCTGTCGTCGTCGCTTCTTCTTCTTCTTCTTTTTCTTCTTCTTCTTTTTCTTCTTCTTCTTCTTCTTCTTCTTCTTCTTCTTCTTCTTCGCTTCTTCTTCTTCTTCTTCTTCTTCTTCTTCTTCTTCTTCTTCTTCGCTGCTTCTTTTTCTTCTTCGCCCCTGTTTCGAGCCCCCCTTCCTGCCATCCTCCACCAGCCGTCTTCTTCTTCTTCTTCTTTTTCTTCTTCTTCTTCTTCTTCGCTGCTTCTTCTTCTTCTTCTACTTCGCTTCTTCTTCTTTTTCTTCTTCGCCCCCGTTTCGAGCCCCCCTTCCCACCATCCTCCACCAGCCCTCTTGTTCTTCTTCTTCTTCTTCTTCTTCTTCTTCTTCTTCCTCTTCTTCTTCTTCTCGTCTTCTTATTCCCTCACATCGTTTCTCAGCCCTTGCCCACCATCCTCCACCAACCGTCTACTTCTGCTTCTCGCCCGCCGTTTCATACCCCCCTGCTGCCCATCTTCCACCACCCTTCGTCTTCATCTTGTCCTCTTCTTCCTCTTCTCCTTCTCGCCCGCCGTTTCATACCCTCTGTAAAACCCCAAGCCCTCCCACAACTGTGCTCCCCCCCCATAAAAAAAGAATATGCTGGGTTTTTGCGTCGCCTGGTTTCACCAGACAGACTCCCCCGGGGCTGACCGGCCAGGCATCGGCCCAGCCTAGCTAAACACTTCAAAAACACAGAATGCTAGGCAGCAAAGATTGAATGGACACACCAAATAAACGTGTGATAGAAACATGAGGGCATTCAATACCTTCATGACCTCTCCTCTCATCTCTGTTGTATTCTCGCTTGCTCCAAAAGCATTCACAACATGGCCGAAGAAGAAAAAGAAAAGTGGCAAGGATGCACCAAACAGCATTGCGCCGATTGTTCCGACACCCATAAAAGCCACATCCAACCCATCTGCATGCTGATCAAAGGGCAGCAAACACATCATGGCCACACGAAGACCACAAGTTATGCAAATTAGCAGATCTGCCACAAGATCCAATCGATAGGCCTCTGGAAAAAAGGGCTAAACCACATGTACATGCCAGTTCGGATAGTTTATCATGTTGTACGCAATGTACTGATATACAATTGTGCAACGCACCCGTTCCGTGGGGTGTGGGCACGTACAACGGTCATACAACCCTTTTCCCAACGCAAAAAAAGAAATCTATTGAACATGCCAGGCGGGTCTCTATTAAGGTCTGCAGTCACAGTGCAATGCTATGCACATGTGAAATTTCAAGTGTGAAGTTCATTGCGCATAACTCTTCAAAAATTACTCAATATCTATGAATGGTCCTTTCTTCCTTTCTTTTCTTAAATCGTTTGCTCTTCCAACATGTAATATAAATCTCTTTAAGACCTCTTTCATTAGCCTATTACGCCTTGAACATCCCCTTCCATAGAGCCCTCACAGCATACAAGGTAATGAGACAGATCTTGAAGCTTTTACCCTGTCACCAATGACGTCTTACATTAATTTTCAACGGTGAAATTTTTAAACAGTCAAGATCTGAACCGTGAATAGAATCATCTTTGTACCCCCTACCACCTCATGAAGTCCAATTGACAAGAGTCAAGATCTTGAAGCTGGACAGACCTTGAAGCTTTCTCCTTGTCGCCAATGACATTTGCAATCAGACTCGCTTTCTTCTTCACTTCACATGCATGCAAACAGATGGTGAATCAAACTGGCGCACAGCGCCCACTCAAAACTCAGAGATGTGGAAATCGAGAACTCAGTTCAGATGCAAACTTGCTTCTACAGGCTATGGCGCATAAGCGCCCGCGCATCCAACCCTCGATACTGTTCCCAACGCCACTGTTCACACTCACTCAACCTCAACTCTGGATCACCCTGAATACCCCACACACGTACACACTCTTGCGTCTCTCTCTCCTATCTACAGCGGCTATGGCTGCTCACCCACTAGCTACAGCTACGCTAACTTCTTCCAGACCACTTCGACTTCGGGCCCTCTGCAGACCACCTCGCACAAGACACTGTAGCAGCGCTTCCGCACGGCTTATGCAGAGAATGAATGAATTGCTGGACGCTGCCTCTTGATTTATACTTCTGTTGGTCACTGGTCTGCCCCTTTCCTCCAGGCCTTCGGTGCACACAGTCCCACACGGTACTTGCTTGACTGGACTGCGACTGACTGGACTGGTACCGCTGACTGCACGGGGTTCCACTGCTGACTCAATGCAGTCGCACTGTCTACTCGACGCAGCTGGACCTACGACTTACCTACAGACCTCTAGCCTAGCAGTTTCGACCTCTACACAGCTGTAACCCCTACTTGACAGGGCTACAGATCGAATCCCTACAGCTACAGGGACCTACGACAAAGCCCGGTTACTACTAAAACACAGGTCGCGGGTTCAAACCACACAGGGGTCTCCTCGATACAGTACACGGGTTCAAAACACACAGGGGTCTCCTCGATACTGAGCATGGGTGCAGGTAAGGTCTAGGGATCGAACCCTGGGATCTGCATCTGCTTCTGCAGAGGTGAAAAACCGTTTCACTCCTGCCGGCCTAAATTCGAGGTCCTCCGAGAATACTTCAGTCCAAGGCCGGACCTTTACCCTTCTTATCTCTCTCATAGGCTCGGACTATATTGGGAGCTGTCTCTAGAAGTTCTSCTCTGGTGAACCARCGGTCGTMKTCAGGTTCTTGATAAGAGAATYTGACYTTGTACTGTTTCTGTGGACGACCTCTACCTCCTGTTCTGAAGACATCCTCACCTACTATGCCATCAATGCCGTACCTCCCATCCATATCCGGAGGAATCATAGACCTTCGTGATGGGAACTGTTGGCTCGTTGTACAAGGTAACAACTTTGATGCGTGCAAAACTGGGGAGGTGTGGAGGTGTGTTGGGATCTCTATCATGTAGGATGGTCCATCCTCTCCACCCTTGACTTCTAGGACTGGCCACGGTCCTCTATAAGCAAGCAGCAGCTTTTGTGAGATGTTCTCCTCAGGAGCAAATTCTTTTGACTTGACCCAAACTAGGTCGCCGACTTGGAACTGTGGAGGGCTGCGGTGTTTGTTGGCTTGTTCTATGATTATCTGCTGGGCTTTCCTGAGGTTCTCAACTACTGTAGCTATCTCTTTCTCGTGCTGTATTGCTAATTCTCTGGTACCGGGCGGTAACCTCTGAATCTGATCCCGGTTAAGTCCTTCAAACGGTCTGCGTGGTTTAAAAGACTTATGAAGCTCATTGGGAGTGCGACAAGTGGCTAAGTGCACACTATTATCGTAGGCACTGGCTACTTTTGGGAGCATCTCATCCCAGTCCAGTTGATCGGGCCTAATGTACATCCTTAAAACTTGCTGAAGGACTTTATTCATTTGTTCGGTCTGTCCGTTTGTCTCTGGATGACGGCCAGACAACATTAACAACTTTGACCCGTAGACTTTCATTAACTCTTGCCAATTCTGACTAGTGAACCGCATGTCCCTGTCACTAACTATAGACACCGACAGCCCACGTTCACTGACCCAATGGTCAAAAAAAAATTGTATCACTAACTCTACGCGTGCCTCAGCGGGCAAAGGAACGAAAATGGCATACTTCTAAACCTATCTACTACGACCATGACTTGACTCTTGCCATGTCTGCTTTTAATGTCAGCGTCCATGAAATCTATAGACACTGAATCTCCGGGTCCTAGGCAATGGTTTGAAAAAACCTAGAGGGGCTCGCGTAGTAGTCTTGTTCCTTTGACATACTTTGCAACTGCGTACGTATTCTATGCAGTCGGCCTTCATACCAGGCCAGGTGTACGCACGCATGAGGTTGGATAATGTCTTCTGCCAACCGAAATGTCCCTTTGTATAATGGCATTCCCGTAAGATCAAACGTCAGATCTCTTCGCTGTTGGGAACGCATAAACGGTCTACAACATTAGTCTTCACAAATAACAAGTCGTTTGTAGTGCGATAATCTGGTTCTGATTCTGGTGCCTCCTTAACTCTCTTGAGGAGGTCGCTATAGATAGGGTCCTGCGCATACGCTTCTTTGATTCTCTATTGCAAGTCTCTCCCTATATCCAGATAGTGCACTATCGCTCCGAAGTAGTCTGATCTCCTACTCAGAGCGTCCGCAACTAAATTGTATTTGCCTTTGACTGGCTTGAGCTCAAAGTCATACAGATCTATCTCTGCGGCCCACCTAGTTAGCTTTGGTGTCATCTTGGCCTGCGTTTTCAGCCACCTTAGTGTCTCGTGGTCTGAATATACTTTGAAGTGCCTCCCAAGCAAGTAGTGCTTCCAGTGTTCTAACGCTTGCTTGAGAGCGTAGAGTTCCCTCTCGTAGGTTGATGTCGCTACCTTTTATGAAGGCATTCTAGCAAACATGAACTCTACGGGTCCGTATCCATTACCATCGTCTTGCTGCAGAACAACACCTATGCCATACTGACTTGCATGGTGACGACGAATGGCAAGTACCGTGTGGGAGTACACACCCCATGGTACTTGCTAAGTACCGTGTGGGAGTACACACCCCATGGTACTCACCAGAGGTATCTCTTCTCCTTCTTCTTCTTCTTCATCTACTTCTTTGAGCTTCTCCTCCTCTTCTCTCTTCACCTTCTCCATCTCTTCCTCAAGCTTCTTCTTCTTCGCCGCCTGTGCTTCCAACAAGACCTTCTTCTTGGCCTCCTCTTTTCTTTCTTTCAGTATAGCAGCGGCTCTCTCTTCCTGCTCTTTTGTATATGGGGTGGTGCTCGTTGCACTACACGTGTCAACCATGGTGACAGGCGTACAATCGGATAACAGTTCCACTCCTCACCACTTAGACTCTCACCCCCTGACTGACTTAACTTAATACTGACTCACTAAGGACCACAAAATCCTTGAAGGACCCTGTCAACTATGGTCTCTAGCCTGACTCTACTTCTAGGCTGTCACTACAGGACTTACTGCTGATCAGGAGGCATTTAAGGAGATCCCCCGTAACTCCTCAGGAATTATTTAATGTCGCAAACATGACGACGCGATCAGCAAGTCCTCTCAAGACTTACACAGCTTGTTGTGCAGCCCAAAACTCGGATTTTGGGCCTACTGTGCCACACCAAGCAGCCCGATGGTCTGTACCGGTCCTTGGGAAGGTTCGTGTCCTCCGGGTCTGTCGAGTTGTCAGACACAGCCTTTACCCCTACTGAGCTCGTGTGCGTTTGATCAACAAAGCTCTACGACCACATACACAGAGTTCCTATCACCTGTACAGAAGAGACTCAATGCAGAGAGAAGAGACAGACAAACTTAGCAAGTACCATGGGGTGTGTACTCCCACACGGTACTTGCTTGACTGGACTGCGACTGACTGGACCGGTACCACTGACTGCATGGGGTTGCACTGCCAACTCAATGCAGTCGCGCTGTCTACTCGACACAGTTGGACCTACGACTTACCTACAGACCTCTAGCCTAGCAGTTTCGACCTCTACACAGTTGTAACCCCTACTTGACACGTCTACAGATCGAATCCCTACATCTACAGGGACCTACGACAAAGCACGGTTACTACTAAAACACAGGTCGCGGGTTCAAAACACACAGGGGTCTCCTCAATACTATACACGGGTGCAGGTAAGGTCTAGGGATTGAACCCTGGGATTTGCATTTGCTTCTGCAAAGGTGAAAAACCGTTTCACATTGCACATTAATTTCAACACTGAATCCTTTAACAGTTAAGATCTGAACGATGAATGGAATCATCTTTATATCCCCTACCACCTCATAAAGTCTGATTGACAAGAGTCATCCCCTGTCTGAAGCTACTCTGCTCGCATAAGATACAACATATTGCGCGGGATTTCTTTTTTTTTCAATTTTCAACGGTGAAATCTTCAGAGGATCCAAATCTAAACAATGAATAGACTCGCCTTTGTACCTCCTACCACATCATCTAGCCCCATTGGCGACAGAGATCTCTGAAGCCACTCTCCTTCATAACCTTTTAATTTAAGAGTACATGAGATACCGCACGGGATTGCTGTTTAATATTCAAAGGTGAAACCACCAGAGAATCAAGATTTATCTTGTGCATAGGGTTTGCCTTTTTGGCCCTACCACCTCATGTGTGATCAGATTTGATGTGGGCAAATGATCAGAACACTAGATCAGGTCAAGATCTAACATTGGCCTTCAGGCGTTAGACGACAAAGTAAAGAAACGAGGGATTCAAATACTACGCCGACATGGCTTTTGCCCTGCGGGTTTCGTTTTTTGAAAGGGACCCTTCCCGCAGCCCGTAAAGGACATCCGCAGGTAGCGTACATTCCCCTTTTATGTCAGGCTCAACCTTCGTTAAACGTGCTCCTTTTCTTTTTTGCACGGGCCAGATGCACTACCTCTGAAACTTCCGGCTGCATACAGGCAGGCTGCGAACAACCTACACTCGTGGCCTACAACACATTGGCACAGCAGGTACGTGAGGCTGAGCATAAAATGTATGTCTGTACAGGCGAAAATAGGGGTCTGAAAAAACAACGGACCACACACACACCTGCTACACGCACCACAATATCCCCACAAAAAAAATAGAGCAGTCATTTGAAAAAAAAACTATTGACAAAGCATCAATGTCGAGGGTGGGGGGAAATGAAAAGGGAGCCGCAACTACTGACAAAATGCTTGGTCTTTACGTTAGCCAGACCCCTACTGTTGGCCCCAACCCTGTACCCTAAACCACTAGGGCGAAGGGAAACATGCAATATCCCCTTCACCATAAGAAATAACTATGCTTGCAGGGGTCCCCTCTTACAGCCTTAGGGTAGTGGAAGGTAGGCAGTGAAAGTCGAAAAACGAATTTGAGAGAAAGAAAAGGAAAACAGTGAGCGGACCCTTAGGATTGTGTCAATTAGAAGACGCCACGTACATGTGCAAAAAATATTTTACGGTCATATCAATGCAATGATTTGTCCATTACAGAGAATGTGAGTGAGCAGAAGTGCAATAACCCATGCCATATGTCTCGTGGAAACTGAGGGTCGTCTGAGGGCCTACTTGGCTGCCCTCAGCCCAAGCCGAAACAGGGGAAAAAAAAAACACACGAATTCAAGGCATGGGCATAAGACAATTGACTTTAGTCAACTGTCGATCCACTCGACAATCAAAGTCTTTGCCATGTCGTCAGGCAGACATCCTGAAACGAATGGCCAAACTGAACAAATGAATCGTCTTTGCCACCAACTTTTGCGAATGTATGTCCGTCCTGACCAAATTGATTGGGATGAGAGCTTGCTTAAAATTGCTAGTGCATATAATAACAATATACATACTGTCACAGGTAGAACACCTAACGCACTGCATAAAGGATGGAAGCCTAGGCGTCCCATTGATGCATTAATAAGGGACCAGATTCACAGGCTACCCCCAGGTACGCGTGAATACACAGTTTTGTACGAAGAAGTCATTAAGAAGGTAAAGGAAAGCATACAGAAATCCTAATTGCAAATGATTGAACCAGCTAATAAACATCGTCGTCCTTCACAGTTCCAAGAAGGGGACTTTGTATGGGTTACGTCTAAAGAGTTTTCCTTAGAAGAAAATGTGTCTTAGAAACTGCTACCTGTCTACTATGGACCTTGGGAAGTTCTTGACGTAATTGGAGGTGAAGATGGACCTCCCTATCGTATAGATGTACCTTCACATCTAAGGACATACCCTGTCTTTCATGCGTCTAAACTGCTACCCTGCGTAGAAAGTGATAACTTTCCGCATAGACCATCTCCATTGCCACCCTCTATGAATGGAGGCTATGAATTGAAAGAAAACTGGACACGGCTATTCCTCTACAGGTGGCAGGGGACGACCTCAGAAGCAGTACAAGGTAAAGTTCAAGACCCAACCTCCATATGAGGCCAGATGGTTTAGTAGGAAAGAACTCCTATCCACTGCTCCTGATATTGTTGCTGCATCTGAACGTGGGTTAACTGAGAATTGATGTAATTTTTGCGATAGAACTCAAAAATTGGGCTGGCAGGAATGCAATAACCCATGCCATATGTCTCGTGGAAGCTGAGGGTCGTCTAAGGGCCTACTTGGCTGCCGTCAACCCACGCCGAAACAAGGGAAAAAGACCCCACACGAATTCAGGGCCTGGGCGTGTGACAGTTGACTTTAGTCAACTATCGGTCCACGCAACAGTCAAGTCCAAAGGTACCTAGCCCAGGCCGCTGGTCAAGCACACACACTTGTTTGTATGCAGGTACCCAGACAGCATCAGGTCCAAGGGAGTAGTCTATAACTGTACAAATTCGGGCCTTCAGATGTGAGCTAAACTGGACGACTGTGGGAAAAAGCATCGAGGCTAGATAGCCTCGACAACTGCTACTTAAGGCTGGCCTCGAGTTAGTCAAGCATTCAGTCTTGCTATGCTTGACGCTGGCTCGACTTTGCCTAGACGCTGGCTTCATGCAGGCGCAACGCTGGCTATACGTTGGATGTGCACAGGCGTTGCGGACGACACCGCAAGGTGGAGGCAGCATGCTGGCACTTCTTCTGTGCACCAGGCAATGATGATGTGGCACTGCCTCTGTCTTCATGGCATGCTGATGTGGTGCTACCTCTGGTCTACACTGCATGCTGATGTGGCGCTACCTCTTCTCTACATTGCATGCTGATATCGCGCTACCTCTGGTCTACATTGCATGCTGATGTGGCGCTACCTCTGGTCTACATTGCATGTTGATGTGGCGCTACCTCTGGTTTACATTACATGCTGATGTGGTGCTGCAACTGGTCTTCATTGATGATGAGCCATATGCCACCTATCTCGACTGCTGACGTGGCACTGTCCACGCTGTCTACATGAGGTGACTGGTTGCGTGAAGGAGGAAGATCAGGATTTGTGGATGAAGGAGAACGGGTACTCACCTAAGGTTGACGTCGACATTGGAATCTGCTATGTCTTCATGGTCTTCACGAGATAAAGTGTCACGTGGCACTATTGTGCGTGATCAGGAATATAATTATTATCATTATTGATGCGGAGAGGAAAGAAGCCCGGAGAAGGAGAGGGGTCTGCTGTGTGATCTTTCATCTTCTCCTTTGTCTGTTCCCCCTCCACTTTCTTCCTTTTGATGGTAATAAGCTACTGTTTGAGTTATCACTTCATGATTTGGAGACTTTGATGCAGATCACGAGACTACTGATGTTTGACGACTTATGAGTAAGGGCCATGCGGACTTGACGTCATCCCCACCTTCCTCCAGTATATCACTGGCAGTTTTTTGTGAGTGCAACACATCGTTGCGATTCTTCGTGCCTTACTGAGGCCGAAGGCACGTTAGGGATCGCCTGTATCGCTCCGATGTTATATGCACCACCAGAACCATTCCTAAGAGTCCAAGCCATTACTCGCTGACTTAGAGAATCATGTTGTTCAGCCACTACATAATCGAGTCAGTTTTATCTCCCAGACTGGGTTCATTACACAAGTGAGGGAAAGAAGAGGGGGGTGGCCCGGGGACAGGTGGGAAGGGGCGGGGGGGGGGGGGGGGGGGGGGGGGGGGGGGGGGGGGAGGTTCAAAGAGTGAGAGAGGCAAGGTGTAAGAGAGAGAACAATTATCAACAAAGTGCCTCTCAAAAACAACACTCCATTGCAACTTTTCTTCCCATGGATTATTGGAAAAAAAGGGGGGGGAAAAAAAAGTCCGACCCATTCGGGCCTACCTCCTTATCTGGGGAGCATCAGTCCAGTTCACTTTCCATTGGCAAGTCAAAATT